CTGTGGGTCGCTAATACCCACAGATTAATTGTACCAATCCAGTGTGATCAAGGGGAGAGGGCTGGCTACTTGGCACTATTTTGGTCCCCTGCTTATGAAAATCCATCTCCGTGTTTGAAAGAAAAGTCTTTACATAACCGTAATCACTCAGATAAGAAAAGGACTAAACTGTCCCGAAACATTTTATCTTCTGTACAGATGCTGCTTATGAATTTTGACTTGATTAAATAACACAGCAACATTATATTTTGTCCTGAACAACCAATGTCCCTCTATAGGAGGGAAGGGCCGAGTCTGCGGTCTGGACCGGCTGTTTGGTGCAAACAGAAATGGGGGTTGATGGAGGCTGGAGGATCTGGCAATTCACCTGGTCAGTGAGAGCTGCTCGGAAAATAGCGAAGGGACCCTGGAAAGCAATACCCTGTTGTGTCACCGACAGGCCTGTGTCACACGTCTGGCTCAGGGAGGTCCCCAGATGTGCAGCCCAGGTGCCATCACAAACCACAAAGCAAACTGAAGGTGTGGGGAAAACCCTGGGAAGGGAGCAGGAGGGCCTGGGGAGCAGCGTCTTAGCTGAGTGCACAAAGCAGGGGATTTGTCAAACAGCAGTGGTTTGTGTCTCTCCCACCACGTCTGCTTCCCGCTCCTTAAAAAAGAGTCTTCTCGTGTCGCAGGAAGCACGGCACTGGGCTGGCGTGGAGAACAGCGGTTTTAGGATGCTCGTGATGCAAGGTGTGAACACGGACAAGAAAGGCCCCGCTCTTGTTCCCTGCCCTGCTGCTCCTTCCCCACTGATGAGCTCCGGTGAGCAAAACCGTGATCCCCAGCAAACAGCAACGCCCGGAGCAGGAGACAACCAGGGCGCACCAGGCGCTTGGAGACAAGATCTCTCCTCAGGCACAGATTTCACCTGTATTTTGCCTCTGTTTATGGCTGGTTTTTGCTGGCTGATTTACATCAAGATGAGTCAGGATCTTGCATGTGCTTTTCCAAATGTTTATGGAGAGCCTTGGGAAGTTAGATCCCTTCTCAACGATTCCTACAGTGAAATCTCAGCCTCACACCATCCCCCATTTGGACCCGCCATGGGATGAAGAGTTGAATTGAGATGAAGATGCTGGTCCCAGGTGGATTCTTCCATCCCAATCTCTCACCTTCCCCACTTCCATCCCATTTGGGATGACATGAATCTGACAGCAGTGAAACACAGCTTTTTTTTTTAGTTCAGCTTTTTATTGGAAAAATAGAGGCAAACCATCTACAAATCAGAGGAAACAGAAAAAAATCTAGGGGAAAGAGCTGAATCGCCTATGCAGCAAAAGTATGCTGGTATGTGATATTAAAAAGAAGGAAAATTGCAAAATATAATTTATTTTTCAGTGTAAAAAACAATGTAGAGAAGAACAGCAAATAACCTTGGATCATATGTAAATATTTCAGTGGGTGTCCACAGCCCCTTCTAGTTCCTCCGTCTCCTGCCTGGCTCCCTTCTGCCTGCTGATAAATAAAAACAAAGTCATAAAAAATATAGCTGGGAAATAATAATTTCCCTCTGTGTGGATTACACCAGCCTTTCCACACCCCTGTCTGTGCCAGCTCGCTCTCTTGGGAAGCTGCGCGCAGCGGGGACCGTTTGCAGGCAGGGCTCCAGCAGCATGGCACGGCATCACCAGCGAGTTGGTAAATAAATATCTGCAGGGTGGGGGTCAGGAGGATGGGGCCAGGCTCTTTTCAGTGGTGCCCAGTGACAGGACAAGGGGCAATGGGCACAAACTGAAGCACAGGAAGTTCCGTCTGAACATGAGGAAGAACTTCTTCCCTCTGAGGGTGACGGAGCACTGGCCCAGGCTGCCCAGGGAGGTTGTGGAGTCTCCTTCTCTGGAGATTTGCAAGACCCGCCTGGACAAGGTCCTGTGCAGCCTGCTGTAGGTGACCCTGCTTCGGCAGGAGGGGTTGGACTAGATGATCCACGGAGGTCCCTTCCAACCCCAAACATTCTGTGATTCTGTGAGACAGGGAAAAATAGAGATATTCCCAATGTGTTATATTTTCTTACTTGACATTGGGAAGATTTGCAGGTGAGAGACTTTGCTAGAATAAGAACTCATCCTCATTCACCCCACAGCGGTCCAGCTTTTCTAGAAACCCAGTGGAAAACTGCCCAACCACAGCTCATAAACACGAAGCTGCTCCTGCCAAAGGAGGGTCCAACAAGGCTGTGCTCATGCTCTACAATTTGTCCTCCTGGGTCTTATTTGAAAGACGCTTAGGCAAAGCCTTTTCTTTTTCTGTCCGTGCTCCAGTAACATTGTCTGTGACTGCTCATCACTCATAATCCCCTTGGGCGGAAAAGCGGTCACCTAATCAGGGCAGAAGTTTTGCCATGCGACGTCCGTAGCCGCTTTCCGGTCCTCCCCAGCTCGAGTCTGTTTATGTGCAGGGGGATTATTAGCAAGACATAACGTGAGTTACAGAAATCGGGATCAGTTAGAAAAAGGGAGCTGGATAATTTATTCCTTGCTGTCATTTAATTCCTGAGAAAACATCCCCAAACAAGGGACAAGGCAAAGTGGTCAGCGAGGGCTCAGCCCACACGCCAGCCCGCTGTCTCTTCAGCTTGCAGAAATAGGGCAGAGCTGCGCGAAGATTACTGGAGCAAGAATATCTTGCGCAAAAAAAAACAAAAAAAAAGCAAGCTTGAAAGGCTACAAAGCTTTCAGGAAACAGCAGTCTTCCACCATGGCCTGTTTTCCAGTGAATGATTTAATTCCCTGCTTTCCGTGTAGTAGTTTCGTGCACGGTTATCATGGTCTGTTACCAGTCTACTGATTAGGGCTGATGAATTTACTGCCAGCGAAACAAAGGCAGGAATAAAAAAGCTGGTTACAACAGAAATGCTGAAGGAAATCCTCAAAATCAAACAGATCTACTGGAGGAAAAAAAGAAGAAAATGAAAAAGGTCTTTAGTTTTGTGTAACTATCCATTTGGCTCGTCTGGTGACCACGCGGGGTTTGAGGACAGGCTGGCCCAGTTTTGGCAAGAGAAGAGTGGCGGCCTGCCGTGCCGCCCTGCCACCGCTTCGTGGCATCGGAGCTCTCTGCCGTAGTTAATGGCAGGATAATAATTTAATGGACAGAAGGGAGAGCAGCACTGGCGGATGGAGCACAGGGCACACGCCGAATCCAGCGACGATGAGCGCTGCTGGAGGCACGGAGGGAAGGGGATCATCTCACACTGGCTCATTTTACTGCTTGAGCTCCAAAGGAACGTGCAGGTACTGAAAGACAGCTTTGTATGGATTTGGTGGTGTGTCTCACCATCTTCATGCAGCCTCAAAGGCAAAACCCGGAGGCTACGGAGGGAGCAGGAGGGTGGAGGGTGCTGTGCTGGGCGTGGGGAGCATCCAGCACTGGGGACGGGGCAGTGAACCCCCTTCTTGCTGTTGCTGAAGGGAGCTCTGGCAGTAAAGTCCAGGATGCAAAAGCAGCCAAACCCCCCTCGGCAAGTCTGAAGTGGTGCTTGAAGTGACTGCCCAGCAAAGCCCACCCTTCTTCTCCCCAAAAAGCACTCTGAACAGCGATTTGGCTTGGCTAGGTGGCCTTGGAGGTGCAGCTTGGAGGTGGCCTCCGTGTCACTGAGCTGGGTCAGAGGGGTCCTATGGGATCATGCAGCCCATAGGGCCAGAGCATCCATACCAGATGTGGGAGGCTCATCCACACCCATGGTGGGAAGCCCCAACTCCACCTAGGCTGGTGGGTCTCCAGGAGCAACCTAACACCTCCTTTTCTTGGCAGGACAGTTAAACACACCTTTTGCTGGTGCCACACTGTGGTCGTGACTGCAAATGTGTGACACAGAGGACGGTGGTAGAGGGTTTCTCCCTACTTCAGCACAGCTGTACATGGCACAGACCATCCGTCTTCAGGTTTAGGAGCCACATCTCGGCATTGCAACTGAGCACATGGTGCAAGAAGAAGGTAGGCAACCTCCCAGAAGCTGCTCTGAAACTGCAGCTGTGCAACAAATGCCCTTAAATCCATAATAAATATGCCCAGGGATCATCCTGCATAATCAACCCATGCATGAGGTTATTTTAAACTAGGAAAAACGATGTCTTCATATATAACCTGCATTAGTTCCCAGGCAGGGCTCTTACTCTGGTTCTGCAAACCAGGCTGGCTGGGTGGGTGGGTATTTGCTCTCCACGAGGAGCGTAGCTGCCCTCAGTGGCCCTTCCCCAGGTGCCAGCGTGGTCACCATCCCCAAGTCCTTTGGCCATGACATCCTCTGTTATCTCTGGCTGCAATGATTCAGCAGCAGCAGATCCTGTGCTGCTCCACGGGTCTGCAGGACTGCCAGTGCCGGTGTCACCTGCTGGAAAGCTATGGACCAACGGTGCTCTGCTCTGACTCCTGATGGGAAGTCAGTCACGGCAAGCCTCAGAACGTTTGGTGAGATTTTTGGTCCCTTTTTTTTTAAAGTTCCAGCTCTTGAAGTGGTGTGAATATATCTGAAATCACAGACTTCATTTGCTTGCTTTAAAAAAACAAGCTTGTCCACCTACCTGTTAGCAAAAAATACCCCTAAGCCCTATTGAAATGAGGTTTCTTATATAAGATATAAAAAGGAAGCCAAAATATGTGTTTGTATCCCTCCCTTGCCCCCAGATCTCATATTGTGTCAGCCAATTTTGTCTGAGGTTTGATTGAGGGATTGCTGTGTCCTGAAGTCCGTATCTCCCCATGTTTTCCACTCCTAGCTCCCACCAAATACTGTGAGATATTCCCAGGGAAGCAGCTCCCACGGGACCGTGGACCTTGGTGGCAGACACAGCATCTCTATCCCCAAGAGAGCAGGCATCAGCCCTTCCTTCCCTGAGTGCTTGATCCTTGCCATCACAGGACCTGTAGGACCTCATAGTCATCAGCATCGGCCTCTGCCTTCACCACAACGATGGGGCTGCTGTGGCCACTCACTGGCTCCGGTGCCACATGGCCAGTCATTGGGTCCTGATGGGGCTCCTTTCCCTCGCCAGGAGGACTTTACTTCTTGAGGTGGTTCCTCTGATGCCTCTTGAAATGCCCAGTGGTGGTGTAGCTTTGCCCGCAATCGGAGCAGATAAATGGGCCCCAGCAGATGTGAGCTGGTGCTTCATGAGGTTGGCTTCTGTGAGAAGCTTTTACTGCACTGAGGGAACTGGAATGGTGCCTCTCCTGTGTGGACCCACTGGTGGGTAATCAATATCTCTTTCCTCTTGAAGTCCTTCCCACACGTGGCACACTTGAACGGCCAGTCCTCGGCATGGGAGGGCTGGTGGAGCCAGAGCTGGGCCCTGTCAGGGAAGACCTGCCCACACTTGTTGCAGCGGTTGGGCTCATACCTGTTGTGGACCCGGCGGTGGGTCGTGAGGGCGATCTCCTTGTGGAAACCTCTCCCGCAGATGGCACAGGTGAAGGGTCACTCCTCACCCGAGTACCCGAGGGGAACTGGGGCTGGCAGTGGCTGGTGCTCCCACATGTGGACCCGCTGGTGGTTGGTGAGGGTGACCTTCTGGGTGAAGGCTTGACCACAGGCAGCACAGGGGAAGGGGTGTTCACTGATGTGGGTGCAGCGGTGGACGATGATGCGGGACTTGTTGATGAAGGCTGTGGAGCAGTTGGTGCAGGGGAAGGGGCGTTCCCCAGTGTGGTGGACCGCCAGCTGGGCCTTCTGGGCAAAGCCCTTCCCACGCTCACTGCAGGAGAAGGGCCACCTGCCAGCAGGGACCCACCAACAGGGGACAGCCGGTCTCTCCTCATCTTTGCCAGACACCTCAGCATTGACGTTGGTCTTGACATTGGCACTGCTGTTGGTGTTGGCATTATTGCCATTGGCATTGATGTCAACATCGGCGTTGATGTCAACACTGATGTCTTCGCTGCTTCCCTTATTCCTGCCACACTCATGGATGCGGTGGTGCTTGATCAAGGCAATCGTCTGGCGGAAGTCTGTGCCACAGGTGAGGCAGGGGAAAGGCCGGTCACCGGTGTGGGTGTGCTGATGGATGGTGAGGTGTGACTTGTCACCAAAGCACTTGCCACAGTCACCACAGGGGTAGGGCTGCTCACCAGTGTGGATGCACTGGTGGGTGACCAGTTGGGTGCGCTGGGCAAAGCACGTGCCGCACTGCCCAAACCCATAGGGCTTCTCCCTGCTGTGGGTCCGCTCGTGTTTGGTCAGCTCCCCCAGCCTGGCAAAGCCCTTCCCACAAGACCTGCAGTGGTGAACTTGACCCTCGGCATGAGCACACTGGTGGTTGGCCAGGTTTCCCTTCTTGCTGAATGTCTTCCCATACTACCCACAGGCATGGCTACCATGAAGGGTGGTAGGGGGCTGCCCACCTCCTGCAGCACTGGAGGTCTCCTTTTCCCATGCATTGATACGACAGTGGGTCATGAGGCTGACCTTCTGGCTGAAGCGCTTTCCACAGGTAGTGCAGGTGTGGGGGGCCTTCCAGGGATGGTGACCCCGGTGATGCTGCAACATCTCCCTCTTGCTGCCAAAGTGGTCCCCACAGGCTCTGCAGATGTGGACACTGGTCCGCTCATGGGTCTGCTGGTGCCGAGTGAGGTGGATCTTCTGCCAGAAGCACTGCCCACACATGGGGCAGGGGTAGGGATCCTCCCTGATGTGAATCCTGTGGTGGGTCACTAACACTGACTTCTCCTTGAACTCTTTCCTGCAGGTGCCACAGCGGAAGATCTCCCCTGCCAGAGTGGATTCGCCCATGATGGCCCTGGAGGCATTCTGCTGGGCCCCCTTGGCACTGTGGACCCGTTGGTGCTTGGTAAGGGTGATCTTCTGGCAGAAGCCATGGCCGCACACCCCGCACTTGAAGAGATGGTCACCTGTGTGGATCTGGTGGTGGGCCACTAGCTGTGACTTGTCCATGAAGCAGCTACCACACTAGTAGGGCTTCTCACCCATGTGGATCCAGTCGTACACGATGAGCTGCGACTTCTGAGTGAAGTTCTTTCCGCAGTCCAGGCACTGTTATGGCCGCTCACCCGTGTGGATCCTATGGTGCTCCTTGAGTTGTGATTTGGTTGATGAACCTCTTGTCACAGTTGGTGCAGGTGAACGGTCTCTCACCTGTGTGAGTCCGGAGGTGCTTGGTGAGGTCCACCTTTATCCTGAAGCTCTTCCTGCACTCAGTGCAGGCATGGGTCTTCTCCCTCCTCTTGGGATCCCTCTGTGTGCTGTGCTTGCTATGGCCTTCCCCACTGGCCTCCTCTCCTGCTCTGATGGCTTCTTGGTCTTGCAGCTCTCCAGCCTTCAGCATCGTCCTTCTCCTCACAGCCTTCAGCCTGTATCATCTTCTCCTTGTCGGATTTCTGGTGGGCCGCCAGGACACCCTTGTTCTTAAAACTGTCCCCACAAGTCATGCAAGTGTATGACTTCTCCTGAGCATAGTTGAGAAAATTCTCTACCACCTAGAAGTCCAGTGGTATCATGGCTGGCCGTTCCATCACCTAGTTCTTCAGAGATGGGAGCCTGGGTGTTGCGCACTAGCAAAGGTGTTGCTAGGAGTCCTCTTGGCCATTACCACCAGCTTTGCCTGCCTGCCAGGGCTGCTGGGAGGTGGTGACTATGGGAAAGCACCAGTTCTGCTTTGAATTACTCTCCTTTAAATGAAAGCCTGTGTTTTCCTTCATAAGGGCTGAACGTGAGAAGAAATCAACGTAGGTGTTATTGTCAAGGCCAACAGGGAAAAAACTACTTTTAGTGTGGTGAGGTGTCATGTGGAAAAGAAAATCATAAATAAAAGCCCAGCCAAGCTTAGTTAATTCTAGTAAAACCAAAGGCCAAGAGACTGTAAAATCTAGGAAGGGATTGAAGGGGGCTACTGGAACCGCCTGGCACAGGCTGGAGTTTCTCCACATCTCCAGGTACTCATGACAAGAAATGGATGATTTGGGGGGCTCCTGCTGTGCTGATCTCTGAGCAGGAACCAACATTGCTTTTCCTTCAGAGGGGCAGTAAAGGCCAGTGGTCATAACCATCAGGGACCAGCTCACAGTCATCAGCACCTCCAGAAGTAAATCCTCCTTGGTGAAGGGCCCACCCATTTCTGGAGGGGCCCACTACCCTGGGGTGGTGAGATCGCTG